CAGAAACTTTTACCTATCAAGGTAACCTGAGATCCAGTGTCTAACATACATACACAGGGTTCTCCATTCACTAACGTACGTGCCTTCACGAGGGTACCCAAGACTCTGTTGCCAACTGGTTGACAGCGTTCATTACCATAGCGAGTCTGGGTATGTCGCACGCATGTTTTCCTACGGGGGCGGGCTTTTACACCATTGGACTTACCTCTGTCTGCGCTGGGAGCGGGTGGTCGGGCACCTGGGCTACATACCTTGGGATTAGGGCAACCCCTAGCAAAATGACCAACCTCTCCGCAGTTGTAACATTCAAGATCTCTGTGACCACGACCCGCTCTTTCATCTCGCGAGGGATTCAAGTACCTACCAGAATTCTGTCTTCTTCCATTGTCCATTGTCCATTGTCCACTGTCCATTGGTCACCTCAAGCTCTCTGACCTTCCTCTCTAACATTCTGATCGCATCCACATGCGGTCCACTGGCCAGAGCACTTGACAGGGGTTGCACTGTGGCAACAGGGGTCTGACCAAGTGTACTTACCTGATCCTGCAACCCTCTGATCAGCGTCCTATTCTCTTCATTGCTCTTGACCAGCTCCTCATTCTGTCTTGTCATCATATGTATGGCTTCAGTCATCATTGTGATCTGCTTATCAGCTTTCGAGGGGGTCTTCGTGCCCACCACCATTACTCGTTTCTGCACCTATCGTAGAGGTAGGGTGTGCTCTGGCTTTCCTGGTAGGAGCTTGTGGGCTAGTTTCCATTTGGCCGAGGTCAATCTCTGCAGTCCTGGCTGCAACCAACAGCTCCGCAAATGATACAGTCTCGTTGTATGCGTGCCTCACCTCAGCCTCACCCCATACCTAGCGGCACTCTCATCTTCATGCTGATGAGCACTGTAGAAATTTCTCATGGCCACATCCCTTGATTCTATCTTACCGTATACGACTTCTAATGCTGCTAAAATCACGGTCAGCGTGTCAGCCCGAGCATCGTACACCAACTTGGCCGCATGGCTCTTCAGAGATTTCTTCACCTGCTGATACCAAAACCAAATCAGAATACATCTTGGTCTTAGCGAGCCCACTTACCTCTTGTTTCCAAAGTTCATAAGTGATGTCTTCTGTACCGCTGCCCTCACCGGTGAAGGGGGATATACGCGGCAACGCGTAAGAGTTCAATGGCAAGCGAGTCGGACTGCGGTCTCTAGGACGCACCAACGGGGTGCTTGCGCTCACGGGGTCACCGAATCGGGTTTCGCGCTCCGTCGCCGCTACCTTTTCTTTGAGTAGTTCTACTTTACACAGCAATTCCATCTGCTCATCGTTTCTCACCTGCAAGTGATCTAACTCAAAGCGTAGCCTGTGCTGCTCGCGCCTCACACACTCCCGCCTTATTGTCTTCATGTTTCACCTCACCGCGGAAACTCATCTCGTCGCCGGCAACTTTGTCTTTCGGCCTAACAGTGCCGCCACCAATCCCACCATACACAGGTAAACCTCCCCCTAACCCAGCACTGGGAACACCAAAAGGGGTATGCATAGATCCATTAATGCCCGTCCGCTTCCCTCTGCCACGCCCCGGGGAAATACCTCTAGGGGTCTCAGCATTCACCCCAAGACCCCCCAACAGTCCTTTTGGGTCAGGCGTTACCTTTTCTATCGGGGTAACTGGAGTGTTTTCTCTTCCCTCTGCCATGTTCGTTCTGTATTGTCGCTGACACACCACAGCCAGTGAGGAACAATCTTGTA